CTGCCTCATGGACGAGGGTTTCGAGGTGGGCCCTGCTGTTTCAGGGGAAGTGGGCCAAGGAGGAGCACAACAACATCCTCGAGCTCCGCACGATCGTTGCCTTGCTTCGTCACCTTTCCCGATCGAGGCCCTGCTGGGGCATGAGGGTACTGGTGTTTTCGGATTCCCTGGTATCCATGGGAGTGCTGGCCAAAGGACGGTCATCAGCGGCTGGCTTACTGCATCTGGCAAGGCAAGCGGCAGCAGTGGTGCTGGTGTGTGGCATCAAGCTGTGTACGAGATGGGTTGCATCGGAGGACAACGTGGCCGACGGACCGAGTCGTGGACTGGGGATCGGAGCGGCGGAGGCGACGAAGGAGGAGCACAAGTGGCGACACACCCCGAAGGCTGTGAGGATGATGCTGGGGAGGCCCTCGACGTGATGATTTATCGGATGGAGCTGGCCGAGACGCGAGAGGGGCCCGAGGAGTGGGCCTTCGGGCTCCGGCCCCCGCGGAGTGCTTCGACGGGATCACGGCCAGCTCACCTCTTCCTGATCATCTTTGGCCTCGTGCACACCGTCGGAGCTGTTCGGTCGACATCGAGACCGCCGCCCTTGAAGACCAGGGGGGCCCTGGCCTGGGCGAACGCGGCCACCGACACGTTGGAGTTCAACAACAGGCTGGCGATCCACGCGGTCGACGACAAGACGAACGTGGTGTACGAGAAGGCTGTCAGGGATTTCCTCATCGACACAAAGAGGCTGGGCGTTCCGTTCGAGACGGTGCACCAGCGTGACAAGGCCCTGGCATCATACCTCTCGGACCTCTGCTACGTACGTGGATTGGGTTATGCGAGTGGGAGTTTGGCTTTCAATGGATTCATGCACATCTTCGAGGATCATCGTAACTACCTGCCCCTGGCTGCGAGAGCTCTCAAAGCATGGGAAAGACAGCAGCAGGGGCAGGAGGGGCAGCCCATCCCTATCGAGGGGGTCGCGCTGATAGTAGTGGATTTGTGTGAGCGCGGGCTGCCCCTCGAGGCCTGCGCGGTCATCGTGCAGCTGGACGGTTGGCTACGTGAGCAGGACTGGGCCGGCCTCCGCAGACGGGACGTGAGCACGGACAAGACGGGGCGCATGGCCTTGCTCCTGGGGGACCGCGCCAGGGGCGAGAAGGTCAAGACGGGGTCGGGCCAGGGCGTCGAGCTGACGACGGAGCTCGGCAAGCAGATCATGAAGGTCCTGATCTCCGACCTCGCCCCCGACGACTGTGTCTTCCCCATCACTCCCGACAAGTACAGGCGCGAGTGGAACCGCTCCCTCGTCAGGCTCGGGCTCGAGGAGTTCGGGCCCCCGCATGGCCTCAGGCATGCGGGAGCCGCACATTTTGTGGCGGCAGGGGGAGACCTCGAGGTGGCACGGAGAAGGGGGCGCTGGAACACCGCCAGCGCCCTCCAGAGGTATACCAAGTCGTTCATCCTCATTGCGAGGCGCAGCATCATGACTGACGCCAAGCTACGAGACGGCGAGGAGTTCTGGCGGGCCCCAGGCGTGTTCATGGCACAGGCGCTGGGGAAGTCCAGGGTGGCGGACAAGCCACTCACTGCTCGTCTGATAAGGATGCTGAAGGGGCTGCCGCAGGGTGCCTCGCTGCCGCTCGGCTCCTCAGAGGTGCCGCGCCCAGAGGTGGCGAGGCCCAGGTCGGGCCTCAAGGCGCAAATTAGAAGGCGCAGCACGTAGCCTCTTTTCTCCAATTAACATGAAGAATGATGTATTTTCGGGGATCCCAATGGATGTGCCTAAGCTGGGGGGGTCAGGACTAGTCACCTACTCCTTCGCCCCTCCCTCCCTCCCTCCCTGGTGTGCTACGTCCTGCGCTGTGCAATCTAGATAGGGCCTGCGGCCAGAAGGGGCTGGTTGGCCTGTGTGGGGTCTTCCGCACGTGATCTGTTTTTGTTGGCCTCGAGGGCCCCTTGGAGTGCCAGGTCAGGTACCGACTTTCTGGGGCCCTCGGGGCCCGCCTGCAGGTCCCGAGCGGGATCGATCGAACAAATGTTGGGGGCTGGACGCCCCACGCTCGCCCGTGTCTGGTTTCTCCTCGTGTCCCGCTGCTGGGTCGGATATTCGCTGTACTGACGGGGCGCCCCCGACGTGGCCGGGGATTTTGGCCTGCGTGCGCGGCGGCGTTCGGATACTCGCTGTATTCCTTTGATGCCTGACGGCGCCGTGGGAGCCGCCTGCCCCCCTTCAGCTCTGGCACGTGGGATCCTAGGACAGCATAGTTTAAATAAATGTTATTATAACGCTCTTTTATACTGCTTGTTCCCCTCCCCTCGTGCCGTCCTCTTCTGTGTCTTCTCTCGGCTTTGCCGTCCTCAAGATTTCGGCCCCGCCCACCCTCCTCTCGAGGGGAGGGGTCTTCCGCACGTGATCTGATTTTGTTGGCCTCGAGGGCCCCTTGGAGTGCCAGGTCAGGTACCGACTTTCTGGGGCCCTCGGGGCCCGCCTGCAGGTCCCGAGCGGGATCGATCGAACAAATGTTGGGGGCTGGACGCCCCACGCTCGCCCGTGTCTGGTTTCTCCTCGTGTCCCGCTGCTGGGTCGGATATTCGCTGCACTGACGGGGTGCCCCCGACGTGGCCGGGGATTTTGGCCTGACGTGCGCGGCGGCGTTCGGATACTCGCTGTATTCCTTTGATGCCTGACGGCGCCGTGGGAGCCGCCTGCCCCCCTTCAGCTCTGGCACGTGGGATCCTAGGACAGCATAGTTTAAATTCCTGTTCCACCTCACAGCTACCGTGCAGCAGACAGTTTCTCCAATGCAGTCTAGCAAGGCAGCTCAGCATTTTTGTGGGGAAACCTTGGATGGAGGCGCTGGTTTCACCGTGTTCTGGAGGATGCATCAGGCTTTCTTGAAAGATGGCAAATATTCTGACGCTGCCCTGCTGGTGTGCATTGTTTCAGGGGGTACTTGGCCCGAGGCTCGACTTCAGGACGGAGGGTACCTCACAGACGGCATGTTCCCGCGATGTGGGGTTGCTCGCGAAACAAGCCTCCACCGAAGTTGGTCGAGCTCGGCCAATGCTCAGATCGATTCAGACCATATCCATCGATCCCAGGATCTTGCTGCGACGGCGGATACTCCTGAGCACGTTCGCAGTGCTTTCTGGAACCGTGGGCTTCCTCCTATTGCTGCAGCTGTCGCACCACTGCTGCCACCCCGTGATGTTCGTCAGTCGTGGGGCCTCTTCGATGGGGGCCCGAGGGTAGAGATTCGGACTGGACGGCTCTGGGGGGAAGTGGGCTCTGGATTGGAGGCTTCGACGGTGTGGCTGGGTGGGGGTTAGGTTGGATGAGGCGAGTGTTCATGCTCTTGAGCTTCGGTGTGACGCCATTCCCTTGGGTACCCTGGCTACTGAGTCCCAGTCTAACCCCCGATCGGAACTCTATGCCTCGATCATGCTCCTTACCTACACTTATGGTGATGTAGTGACTTACTGTGATTATTTGCCCCTGGTTCGGAGCCTCAGGAGGGATAGGTCCTATGTGGCCCAGAACTCGCCCATGCTGGACTTGTGGAGCCAGATCTGGGACCTCCTGGACGCTCGTGAAGGTCGCTTGGAGCTCTTGTGAACCAAGACTCATTCTACGGAGGCTGCTCGTGAGGCTTGGGGCATCTCGGGAGCTGAACGGTTTCTTAACTATTGCGCTGACTTTCTCGCTGGGAAGGCCGCCGCCTTAGGAGAAATTTCCCCGGAGCATGTGGATGCGCTTCAGGAGGTCGACGCTATGACTGGTAAGGTCTTGCGGCGCCTCCTTGATGCCAATCGTGAGGTCGCCTTGACATGCAAGCGCCTCGTGGCAGACAGGGTCGGGCGTCCTCGTCCTCGCCCCAAGGCATTGCCCTCCTACGCCACTCGTAAGCAACGTCTCGAAGCGGCCGGACATTATGTCAAGATGGTTGGCGCCAGAATTATGTGTTGTCTGTGTCGTCGCCATTTCGAGGCGACTCCAGGCAAGGTCTCCAATTTCTTCCATGGGTGCCCAACCAAAACAAATCCTCCTCCTCCTCGTCCTCCTCCTCCACCTCCTCCTCCACCTCCTCCTCCTCCTCCGCCTCCTCCTGGCGCGCACTTGTCTCTTCGGGAAGTCGGCGGGATGGCGCGAGCCTCACAGAAACCACCACCCGGCCCGATGCAGGACCGCGCTGGGTCTTACTCTAGGGGGGTCTCTTTCAGAAGCTTTAGGCCACTGCGTGACCCAAAGGGAAGGATCCGCGCAGTCCGTCGCCGCTTAGCTGATGGCCCTGCTCCGAGTCAAAGATGGCACCAGGAAGGCTCCAAGGCGAAGACGAAGACGAGGTCGGCGTTCCATCTTGGGGCAACGCTAGACAATCTTGACGGCATTGCGCGCCTCCTGCCGGGGCCACCTGGGACTTTTCGGTACACCTTCGGCCCGTCGTGCGGCCGGTTGTGGCGCTTCTCCGGCGAGGGCGCTCGCAAGGATGGGCGGAGAACGCGAAGCGCCTGGAATCATCTCGAGGCTGCGCGTGCGGCTTGCCGCAGACACTTTGGTAGGAAGCCCTGGCTGCGCTTCTGTGGGCCTCCCTTATTTGGGCGTGGTTTGAAGTTGCTCGACATCTGTCTAAGTGCGGCAGGGTTCGGCTGTGCACCCTACGGATCCCGAGGGGCAGGAGACAGGAGGCAGCAGAGAGCAGGGTTGAGGAGGAGGGAAGAGGGAGAGAACAGATCAGGGAGGATGGAGGAGAGAGGAGAGAGGAGAGAGGAGAGAGGAGGAACGAGAGGACGAGGCAGGCGGAAAGGTGGGAGGAAGGAGGGAGGAGGAAGGAGAGCAGAGGGAGGAGAGAGGGGGGAAGAGGGGTTAGAGAGGGTGAGATGTGGGAGGAGGAAGGAAGAGGGAGGCAGGAGGCAGGAGGCAGGAGCAGGGAAGGAGCAAAGAGGAGGGACGAGGGAGGGGGCAGGAGTGGGGAGGCAGAAGGGAACAGGTGGGGAGGAAAGAAGGGAGGGACCCATCCCTGTCGACCCACGACGCGGCGCCGACGCACTGTCTTGCCGAGGCCAACGAAGATGGCACGGGGCGAAAAAGGCGGGCGGGCCACGCGGCCCGCGAATGGGAAAAGCTGCCGGGCGAACCAGTCCGGCCAAGGCCCCCCTGGCCCCCCGCCTCAGCGGAACATGGCGAACAGACCGTCCAGCGGGCTGGTGCTGGGAGGCTTCACCTGGGGCCCCCGAGTGCCGGGGCGGGGAAGCGCCGCAGCGCTTCACTGCACAGAGGGGGGGCGGGGCGGGGAGGGGGGGGGAGCGGGGAGAGCGGGGAGAGCGGGGAGTGGCAAGCTGGGCGTGCGCGCGCCATGCCTGACATCCCACCCCTCGCGCCCATCCCTTGCCATTGCGCTGCTGTTCCTCTCTGTCCGCCGACGGATGCCCAAGCGGGCCTGGATCCCCCCCAAAAAATGGCCGCATCGTGTGATGCGCAATTAGGGAGGGAAGCAATGCGCATTGGAGGAACAGAAGGAGGAGGAACAGGAGGAGGAGGAGGAGGAGGAGGAGGAGGAGGAGGAGTGAAAGAAAGTGCCGAATGAGCAGGAGACTGAGCAGGAAGATGCAGGAAGATGAGGAGGAGGAGCAGCAGCGGCAACAAGACCAGGAGGAGCGGGAGAAGGAATCGGATCCAGAAATATGGCCCGCGCTGTGGCGAGAGAGCCACTCTGAACGACGGGAGCAAAGCGCCCATCCTGAAATGAGACCAACGCTGCAGCGGGGGCAGCATTTTGAAGCATGACAAGCTACCCGAACGACACCAAAACAGACGCGGGAGAGACAGGGCAAAGACGGGACAGGCTCAGGGGAGAGAAGGGTCGTGTTCCTATCAAGCTAGGTGAGCGCGCGCTCCATGTCTAATATCGTACCCTTTCCCACCCACCCATTCCCATTCCGCTGCTAGTCACTGCTCCATCCGCCGACGGCTATCCTAGCGGACCTGGACCCTCTGGTGAGCTCATCTTTTGATACGCAATCAGAAAGAGGGACGGGGTACATTGGAGGAGCAGGGGGGATGAGGAGGAGGAGGAGAAGGAGGAGGAAGAGGCGAAGGAGGAGGAGGAGGAGGAAGAGGTGGAAGAGAGGGGGCAGCTCCGCACCCAGATCGAATGCCTCCAGCGACCGCAACAGGAGAAGGAAGAGGAGGAGGAGGAGAAGGAGAAGGAGGGGGCGGTGGCGAGTCGGCAAAGAGATGAGCAGGAAGATCAGGCAGAGATTGAAACACTGAATGATCAATTCATTGGAGGAACAGGAGGGGGAGAATGAGTAGAAGGAAGGAGGAGGAGCAGCAGCAGCAGCAGCAACAGGGTAGCTCCGTATCCAGATCGACTGCCTTCAGCGACCGAACCAGCTTCAAAAACGCCCAAGACGTCCGGCACGTCACATGTGAAGGCTTTCGCGTGCGACCCACGCTCGACATGTCACACGTGACGGCTCCCGCGCGTGACCGCCATCCGACATATCAAACGTGACGGACTCCGCGTGTGACCCACGCCCACATGTCACATGTGACGGCCTCCGCGTGCGACCACCGCCCGACATATCACACGTGACGACCTCCGCGTGTGACCCGCGCCAGACATATCACATGTGACGGCTTCCGCGCGCGACCAACGTCTAGCATGTCAAATGTGACGGTCTCCGCGTGTGATCTACGCCCGACATGTCCCATGTGACGGTCTCCGCGTGCGACCCACGTCCGACACGTCCCTTGCGACGGCTTCCACGTGCAGCACACGCCCGACATGTCACATTCGACGGCTTCCGCGTGCGACCCACGTGCGACATGTCACATGTGACGGCTTCCGCGTGCGACACACGCCTGACATATCACATGTAACAGCTTCCGCGCGCGACCAACGTCCGACATGTCACATGTGACAGTTGCTCCCCCCCCTCCCTGATCAGGGCTGGTGGGCTGGCGGGGATACTTGATTGGCACGCGGGCGCGCGACGCGGGTCGAACGCCGGGCAAGCAGGGGCAGACTGTGCCACCAGCCAAAAGAAAAATATAATACCGAGCAACGCCGGGCATACTGGCGGGGATACTTTCTTGTTCGCGGGCGCGCAGGGGTGCCAGGCGCCGTCAGGGAATTGCAAACAAGCAATGGCCGAAATTACCCAGTAAGTGCGCAGGAGCGGACTACACTGCGACTCAGATGCAAGAGACCCAGAACAGCTCCAGGCCAACGTGCAGCGCCAAAATGGCGAAGATCTAGATGCCGTCGAACTCGAAGATCGTAGAGGGAGATGAACAAGGTGGCAGGTGATCGACGGAAGTGTTCCAGAACGCCAAAGGGAGGAGCGTAAGCGGAAGCGTCACCAACGAGAACGACGAACGGGCGTGCAGACGATCAACGGAGGAGTTCCGGATCGCCAAGTGGAGGGCGGGCGGAGATGGCGATCACGGGCGAGTCACAAGCCCGAGAGCCCAGGGGCACCCCGAAGAAAGGGGCACGCGGTCAACCTCAGGGCGCCCACAGCGGCCGCGGAGAGGGAAAAAGATGCAGCCCCGCGACCAGGGAACTGGCGGGGATACGCGAAGCGTCAAAAACTTTCCCTACCTCCTACTGAAGACGAAGTCGAATTCACGACCCATCCATCAGACCAGTCGTCGGAATTGCGCTGATCCTATACGCCGCTTCCTTCCTGCAGCACTGTTGCACGGGCAGGGCGGCGGGGTTTGCCGCAGGTTTGCCGCTGGCAAAGTGGATATCGAAAAACTGAGTGCTGACTGGTATCATACCGGACCTGGACCATCAAGTGATCCCATCTTGTGACACGCAATCAGGAAAAAAGGGCTGATTAGATTGGAGGGACAGGAAGGGGAGGAGGAAGAGGAGGAGAAGAAGGTGGAGGAGGAGGACGAGAAGGAACGGGGGGCAGCTCCGTATCCATGTCGGATGCGTTCAGCGACCGCAACAGGAGGAGAACGAAAAGGAAGGGGCGGTGGCGAATGAGCAAGAGAATGGGCAGGAAAAAGAAGAGAAGCAGGAGGGAGGAGGAGCAGCAACAGCATGAGCAGGAGCAGGAGGAGCGGGAGGGACAAGAGGACGGGGGGGAAGGCGGAGGAGGGGAAGGAAGGGGCTCGACGATAACGAGGAAGGAATCGTGCACATGCCATTCTGAACGACGGAAGCACGGCGCCGATCCTGAACTGAGGCCCACGCTGCAGCGGGACCACCTTTTTCCCAAACAAGTGAAATTTAGAAGCCATAATTAAGCAAATGCATACCAACATCAATTCATACAGACATACATATGTTTATGTGTATACTATATATATGCATATAAATGTATGTGTGATCGCCCCCCCCCAGGGCCAAGCATCCTCATCACCATCCCCATCGCATTTCTCCTCATCTGCATGTTCATCGCGCTACGGCTGGCACGAGGGTTAAGAGCGATCTGAGTTTCGGATAGGTGCACTTGTGCTCTTCGCCGTTCGGCCGGCCGCATTGGGATGTTATTCGCTGTTGGCGTCAGTACCCTTCGGTGAAAGGGGCTCGGGTGTTCGATATACGTTCTCGTGGCAATGTTTCGGCAGTACCTGTGGGTAGTTCCTCGTCGTTTCTCCGAGCTGTCGCATGCGCCCCACATGCTTTTATCAAATATTCCTGTTCGTCGTTCGTGCTCGCTCTCCGCATCGTCGTTTCTCCCCCGAACATCCCTCCTCCCTCACTCCTCGCCCCTCCCTCCTTCCTCACACCCTTCTCCGTTGTAGGTCCGTTCCGTCGTAATCGGCCACGCTGATAAGCTTTTTTTTGCAAGGCTGCATCGAACGACATGTTGTTGCCAGCAACCACACCAAATAGCTCTTGTACTGTGTGCGCTGTCGGCACTTGGAGAATCAGTTTGGCAAACCCGCGTTCGAAGGTCGCCCCACGAAGGAGCCACGGGGGAGCCACGAGGGAGCCACGAAGGACACGTCAACGGGCCACGGGGGGCCCACAAGGGAGCCGCGCGGGAGCCCCGAGGGAGCAATGGGGAAGACATGAGGGAGCCATGGTGGGAGCCATGAGGGAGCCATGGGGAAGACATGAGGGAGCCATGAGGAAGCCATGAGGAAGCCATGGGGGAGACATGGGGGAGCCATGAGGGAGCCATGAGGGGAGGCATGAGGGAACCATGGGGAAGACATGAGGGAGCGTCGAGGGAGCCGTGAGGGGGCCATGAAGGAGCCACAAGGGAGCCGCGCGGGAGCCACGAAGGAGCCATGCGGGAGCCATGGGAGAGCCACGAGGAAGCCATGATGGAGCCATGAGGGAGCCGTGAGGGAGCCATGAGGGAGACATGAGGGAGCCATGCGGGAGACTTGAGGGAGCCACGAGGGAGCTACGAGGGAGCCATGGGGGAGACATGGGGGAGCCATGAGGAAGCCATGTGGTAGCCGCGAGGGAGCAAGGAGGGAGCCACGAAGAAGCCATGAGGGAACCACGAGGGAGACGTGAGGGAGCCATGGTGGGAGCCATGAGCGAGGCATGATATATGATGGAGCCATGAGGGAGCCACAAGAGAGCCATGCTGGCGCCACGAGAAAGTCATGAGGCCACGATGGAGCTATGAGGGAGCCACGAGTCATGACGGAGCTCTGCGGGTGACATGAGGGAGCTACGAGGGAACCATGAGGGAGCAGCGAAGGAACCAGGAGGGAGCCGTTCAGGAGCCATAAGGACCCCGTCAGGGAGCCTTAAGGGAGCCATGAGACAGGAGGGAGCCATGAAGGAGCCACGAGGGAGCCACGAGGGAGCAATGAAGGAGTCACGAGACATAAGGGAGACATGACGGATACATGAAGGATCCATGACTCCCTCCTGGCTCCCTCATGGCTCCCTCATGGCTTCCTGACGGCTCCCCCGTGGCCCCCGCATGGCTCCCATGTGGCGTTCTGATAGCCCCCCTATCACGGTTCCATCATGGATCCCGCATGGCTCCCTCAGCGTGCCCTCATGATTCCTCCATCGGTCCCTCGTGGCTCCCTCATGGCTCCCTTTGTGGCTCTCCCATGGCTTTGTGGCTCTCCGATGGCCCCCCTCACGGCTCCATCATGGCTCCCCCTCCTCCTCCTCCTCCTCCTCCTCCTTTCCTCCTCCTCCTCCTCCTCCTCCTCCTCCTCCTCCTCCTCCTCCCCCTCCTCCTCCCCCTCCTCCTCCTCCTCCCCCTCCCCCTCCTCCTCCTC